TCTCTCCCCTCCCTCTGCACTCTCCCTTTCTCATGCCAAGCTTTTAGGGAGAAGAGATAGGAAAAGGGAGATTGTTGGGTGAGTCCATTTTTCTTTCTTTCTTTCTTTCTTTCTTCCTTTCTTTTCTTTTTTCTTTCTTTCTTTCCATCATTTCTTATTTCTTATTTCTCTCCCTCCCTTCCTCCATCCCACACTATCTCTCCCTCCCTCCTTCTCTTTTTCCCTTCCCCCTCTTCCTACCTCCCTCCCTCTCCCCTCTTCCTCCCTCCCTGTCTCCCCTCCCCCCTTCCTCCCTTCCCTCTCTCTCTCCCTCCCACTTCCTCTCCCTCCCTCCCCTTCCTCTTCTTCCTCTCCCTCCCTTTTCCTCTCCCTCCCCTCCCTCCCTTCCTCTTCTTCCTCCCTCCCTTTTCCTCTCCTCCTCCTCCCTTCCTCATCTTCCTCTTCCTCCTTCCCCTTCCTCTCCCTCTCCTCCCTCCCTTCCTCCTCTTCCTCTTCCTCTTCCCTCCCTCTTCCTCATTCTTTCTTCAGGGCAATATCAAAGATCTTCCGCACGTGCGAAGGAGATGCTTTTCTTCCCCAAAGACGAAAAATGGAAGGAAGTAATGTCGGATTTTCCTCTCTTTTTTTCCCTTCCTTTTTCCTTTTTTTTCTCTTTAATCACTTTCCTTTTTCACGTTTTGATCTTCTCACTCTCTACTCTGCTCTCTCTCTCTCTACTCTGCTCTCTCTCTCTCTCTTTTCCTCCCTCTCTCCCTCTCTCTCTCTCTCTCTCTCTCTCTCTACTCTGCTCTCTCTCTCTCTCTCTCTCTCTCTCTCTCTCTCTCTCTCTCTCCTCTCTCTCCCTCTCTCCCTCCCCTCCCCTCCCTCCCCCTCCCCCTTCCCCTCTCCCTCTCCCTCTCCCTCTCCCTCTTTTTATCCCTCATTTTCTTTTTTTCTCTCCCCTTTCCCCCTTTTATAGCATCAAGCCGGAGAATAGCGCGAGGAATTGCATCTAACGGATGGCTTGGCGCGATCCGATGACCTGTAGAAGGCGAGAAGTGGAGTGTGAGAGGATAAGAGAGAAGGGCGTTGGGTGGGCGTGCGGATGGGCGGGTGGGCGTGCGGGCGGGCGGTTGGGGAGGGAGGGATTGCGGTGGGTGTAGGGTAGTGCTTAGGATTGGGCACTGGGTAGGTATTAGGGTTTGTGGGTAAAGGTAGGCGTAGGGTAGGGATTAGGGTAGGATGGAGGGAAGGGGGGAAGGGGTTGGTGTGGGCGTTGGGAAAGGGGGGTGGGAGGGGTTAGGGTGGGCGTTGGGTAAGGATTAGGGTAGGAAAGGGGGAGGTGGGGGAGGGGTTAGGGTGGGCGTGGGTAAGGACATGGAGTGTGGCCGAAACCGTGAGAGTGTAACTAGGAAGGATGAGGCGATAATGCGAGGGCATAAAGGGAGAGAAGAGGAGGAAAAAGGAGGAGGAGCAGGAAAGATAGATGGGAGGAGGAATGAAGAAGAGAAGGGAAGGCGCGGGAAAATCTGTCGCTAATAGGGAAAATGTGGACAGGAATAAGGAACGTCTTTTTGATATCGATAAAAATTAATAAAAAAAGATAAAAAAATCCAAAATAACAACAACACATTTCTGCCTCACAAACATACAAATCGAATCTGTACTCAAAAAAAGTATACCTCAGTAGCGGCGCAGACGGCGATGACGTCACCGGCTTTCATTCGTTCGTCGGTGGGAAAGGAAATACGAATTGCGTTATAGACTCCCTTAACTCACGTCCCTCTACGCTCCCTACGCTGTCTGTTCTCCCTCTTAAAAATACTAGAGGAGAGAGAGAGAGAGAGAGAGAGAGAGAGAGAGAGAGAGAGAGAGAGAGAGAGAGAGAGAGAGAGAGAGAGAGAGAGAGAGAGAGAGAGAGAGAGAGAGAGAGAGAGAGAGAGAGAAGGGAGAGAGAGAGAGAGGGAGGGAGGGTGGGTGCCTTTGGGGATAAGCCTTTAAAAAGTTTCACGAGTGACATAAATAGCTATTCGATGGTAATAAAGATTGATCAGGCATCAAATGTTTTTCCCGGTTTAATGGGGGGTCATGATCATGGGTGTTTTGTTTATTCGATTTTCGTTATTATTTATTTATTCATTTATTTATTATTGTTATTATTATTATTATTATTATTATTATTATTATTATTATCATTATTATCATATTTTTTAAAAATATATTATTATCATCATCATCATTATCATAGATGATGATAATGGTAACAATAATTGTTATCATTATCATCACCATTACCATTATCATCACCATCATCAATATTATTTCATTGTGGTAAAGATTTTCCTTCGGTCATTATCCTCGCAGTGTCTGAAAAGCTGTTATGTGTTGTTACGTTTTTTTTCCCTTTCTTATTCTTCCCCGTCCGCTCACTCACACAACTTCCTCATTATCTCGTTTCTATCTACCGTTCTCTCTCTCTCACCCTCTGCTATCTCTCCTTGTCTTTCTATTTTTTCCTCTT